CCAGCCCTCGGCCGGGCGGAGCCCACGGGCCCCGCCAGGGGGCGCCCCGCCCGGCGCCCACAGCGTCACGTGCCTGACCCGCCCTGAGGGCGGCGCGGCCTCTGCCGGCGCCACATCCGGGTTCGCTGCCCGCCTTCTGCGGGGCAATGGGGAAACGCTCCAAAGGCAACTTGTTTTTTTCAAAGGCCCGAGGACTGGCTCCGGAACCGCCACCGCAGGAGTGCCGCTTCATCCCACATAACAGCGTCTTGATCTTTCTGTGCTGCTGTCCTGCCTTGTGTTTTGAGTTAAAGGGTGGTAGCCAGAACACCTGATGTGTCATAATGCAACATGCTACAGTTCACAACAGTAAACCCTCTGCAAGGGAAAAAATATAGTTTTTTGGAAGCAATACTAAAGTTGGAGAATAACCCAAGAGTCACAAAATAGATATGGCTTCCTTCCTTCTCCAAGAACAGCTGCTGGGTCTGATTTCCAAGAGAGCAACAGACAAAAGGTGAAACAGCAGCATTGAGACAAAACAAACAATAGGCTTTACCATTCAAATAAACATATCACTCATCTCCTCTATCAAAAGAGGAAGCTGTGCTTTAGCACATGCTGTTACACAGGTGGATGGACAAAAGGTTTAAAACCTATGAAAATATGCCTCCCTCTAGTGGGTTCTCTTTCTGCGACCACCTTTTATGCAGAGAAATTGCTTTATAAAGCTGAACAAAACCAAAGTATCTAAGCACTACATATACTTAGTCTAACAACTCAAATCCATGCAGCAAAATTGTCAAGCACTATGGAGTTGTTAGTGCGATACCAGCGAGATCAAGCTTTTGATCCTGCCATGAATCTGTAGGGCAAAATTATGCATTAAGAGTTACACACTCAGACTGTGTAGCATTTGTCATGAAGAGTTCACAGCCTGAGAACAACAGTTATATTTTTCCTTTCAATGCTTGTGTCTTACCTTTATTAAAGGTGTTACAGAAAAACAGCCACAGCATGCCAGTCTGCTAGCATAGAGGAGTTAACAGTGGTAGAAAATGAGGAACAGGATATAAGCAACTTCTTTACAAATAGTTAAGGTCTTTTTTGTTGGAACAGTGACACATTTATAAAAAGAAACAGCCTCAAGGATAGCAAAAATACATTTCTTCTGCAAGTGATCCCAAGCTTTTGCTCCACAAACTCTTGAAAACTGTTTTGAAAGCCAGGATACCACTGTCACTCCAGGAACTTTTGATGGTTGTCCACACAGGGCTTCCATAGCTTACAGAAAAATCAGATCTTTTCCTAAACATTAATAATCTCTCCTTTTCACAGTTACATTGCAAAATGTGATGCATTTGAGCAAGATACAGATTCTTTTTCTCCCCCAATCTGAACAATCTACAGTTGTAGATTCAATTCTCTGAACACATTCTAGTTTACAGTTTACAGTAGAACTAGTCCAAAAAGAAGTTTGTTTACTTGGCTTCTCAGAGGACCTCACACAGTCAGCGAGGCAAGTGTTAGTAGGTCTGTACTTTAGAGATACAGAGTGAAGAAGTTTTACTCATCCATCATACCTTTTATTTTCTATTACCAGTATGTGATCATCTTTAAGGAAATTGAGGGATAAGAACTGAGGAACATACCAGCTGCACTTTACAGATTAACAGCCACAAAAATAGAAAGCAACTATACAATCTCTGGGTTTCACAAAACTAGTTTCCATTTGTAACACTTGACACAACAAGATTAACAGCAACAAGTGAAGGAGCTACATCTGTAAAGTGCTATTTTTGTTAGAAGTGGCTAAAAAAGCACAACTACAACGGATTTGGGTATTCGGTGGCTAGATTGTCGATATCCTCCAAATCTTTTGTTTCAGGCTCTGTGTTTTTTGATGAAATTGATAAGCCCATTTGTTGAGCTATCATGAGATGTCACTGGAGCATCTGACTCCAGTTCAGGCTCAATTTTCTTGGCAAGTTGTTTTCCAAGCTCAACTCTGTATTTATAAAAGCAAGAGAAGAAAAACATTAGTGCTAACAACTTACACTATTTGCTATAAGCCATTAATGTTAAAAATTGGTGTCAGTAGAAAGTAACTTGACAGTGAACATTGATGAATGTTTTTCTCTTCACAAATTACTGACAAAGTTAATAGTATTCAACTCAGTGCCATTCATGAACAACTGGAGTTCTCATAGCTGCTTAGCTGAACAGACAGCTCTCAAATTAGAGGATGTCTAAAGAAAGTTTTGTTTTAAGAGTTAAGCAGAGTTTTTCCCCTTCAGTACTCATTTGTGTTATGCAGCCTGCCCCAATGCAGAATGCATTCAACTTGCTACTGTTCACTGTGGAACACAACACCACTCAGAACTCCGATTTGTAGCACCACAACAACAAACAGACAGCTGAGTTGCAGGCCTGTAAGCCTTCCCCCACACTACAGCATGTTATCCAGGAGTTACAGCCACACAGGCTAAGAATCTAGGACATTCCAATGGCTACAAGAAACTAGGCTGGTTCAACAGTATCCCCACATTCCATAGTTTTGGATGCCATTCTAGATTTTGACATGTTGCAGTAAGAGCTATACTTCTATCCCACTCCTGATTTCAAAGTTCATAGCGGACATAAGCTTTTATTAGACAGTCTTCCACTTTCGGTTTCTACTACGATACTTTAGTTAAAGAACTTGCTGTGGTAGCGTAGCTCCAAGAAAACATACACAAAGACCTATCCTACAGCCTTTAAGGAGGGAGCTTAGTGTAAACTGCTATTCTACACCTGTAGAGCAAACTTGCTCTTCAAAATAACCCCTCAGAGCATAGGCAGGTTTCACCTGAAAAGTCTTACTCATTTCCCAATCCCTTTGTCTCCTACAGAAGTCTTCACACAGTTTATTGTACAGTTAATATTACCACAGATTAAAAAGAACCTCATTAGTTCCTGATAAAGTCTTCCATCTTTAAAACTGACACTGACAAACTCCTCAAAGCTGCTGTTCTCTGCACGGAGCTCTACCATGAACCTTGGTCACATGTGCAGCCTGCATTAGACCTAGGACTCCAATACATAGACATCTGCCAGGAACATTCTTTTATCTCCGGTATATGAAAATTAAGAGGTGGTCAGTCTTCTGCTTAACAATGCCATTCAAATGTTTCTAGAGATAAAATAATGCTTTTTTCCCCTTCTGTAAGGGAAATTATTTTCCCTTTCTGTCAGAGCAAGTCTTCAGCCTGCTTGACTATTTTACTCATTACTGCCTCTTTTCTGCATTCATAATATTTTAATCAAACTAAACAAAGGTGCTTAAATTTCTATCTGCAGAGTCATTACGCAGGGCTGAAGGATACATGGTGACTTACACCCAGAAAATTTGTTTTAATTTAAAACTATCCTATTGTCATTTGCTCCAAGTATAACACATTTTTTTCATTGTCTTCTCTACATCATGACAGATTAAGGAACACCAGTCAGCAAGAAACAGATCAAGGAGACTTACCCCCACTGGTCATAACTGTTAATGTCCCAGACAATTCCTTGAACAAATATCTTGTGCTCATACATGGCTATAAGCAGAAAAAGATCTATCAATAAACTTCATCAAAAAGTCTTAATAAGCATTCACAGGTGAGAGATCTATTTACTTACCAATGATAGCTCCCAGGGTGAATGGGTTGAGTTTTGTAAACATGATGGAATTGGTTGGTCGATTTCCCTCAAAGACCTTTCAAAACAAGAGTTACATTCTTATCTAGGATGTTGTAAAACTCGCATCAGAAACCTGAAGTTTATATTTTCGTTGTAGCCCACACTGGACTACTTGTATTAGCAGCAAACAAATCCTGAAAGCTCTAAAGGCTAAACAACTTCAACCATAAAATAGTTTCATTTTCATGTTTTATTACAAACAATAGCAAAACATTATCTCTGAGCACCACTACTGGCTATGGGCTACAGGAAGTAAATCATAGAATAGTTTGGGTCAGAAGGGGCCTTAAAGATCATCTCATTCCACCCCCTTGCCACAGGCAGGGACACCTTCCACTACACCAGGTTGCTTCAAGCCCCATCCAGCCTGGCCTTGAACACTGCCAGGGAGGGGGCAGCCACAGCTTCTCTGGGCAGCCTGTGCCAGGGCCTCACCACCCTCACAGTAAAGAATTTCTTCCTAATATCTAACCTAAGTCTCCACTCTCAGTTTGAAACTACTACCTCTCATCCTATCACTACCCTCCCTCATAAAAAGTCCCTTCCCACCTTTCCTGTAGGCCCCCTTTAAGTACTGGAAGGCCACTACAAGGTCTTTTTATAAGGCTATAAAATACAAGTCAATATCCCAGAGCAGTGATGAGATAGCTCATCTTTTCTGAAATGCCTCAGAAGGCTTTCCAGATCAGCATGCTTTTGCAAGAGTGCCATTCACAGACTGCTCCGTGAGACCTGACAAGGTAGAACCTGTAACACAACCTTCACAGCTGTCAGGACAGTAGCACTCGACAGCCACCGGAGGGCACTGCCCCATTAGCAAACTCCATCGAGCAGCAGACCAACACAACGCCCTCACCACCACAGCATACAACTAGAGGAAAGCTGTCGAGTGACAAAGCCTGGTTACCTTATGGGGAAGGAGCTTCTCCAGAGCATCTCCACTCAGTCCTGCTGCCTGAAGTTCCTTACGAGCTTCATCAGCAGTCTTTCCTTTCATCAAGGCCTCAGTCTGAGCAAGAAAGTTGGCCAAAAGGATCTAGAGGGTAGAAATAAGAACAACAACTCAAGCTACTGTTTCCTTACCTGGAATAGTGATACCTAGTGCTTGAATCTAGTCAAAGACCTAGTCTAGAGTTACAACTCCTGTTTTTAAACACTACAGTAGTAAGATGTGCAGTAGCTTTAGCTGCATAATGCCTGCACTTCAGAGTGCCAGGAGACTTGATTGTTTTAATAGTGCATTTATCCAAAGACAACCAGGGCTGTTTTGCTGAATCCTGCCCCTGCTGAAGCCAACAGCAAGCCTCCCAGTGAGAGCAAAGGAGCCAGGATTTCACATATTTTTCCCCTTTCACCCAGTATAGCCTATCCTTTTATCCCATGCTACACCACATGCATGGAAAGCCAGGTGCAAAGATTAGTCAAAGGTAACCACCGAAGATGTACTTACTCTACATGAATGAACATCCCCACAGTGTACACTATTACCAATCCCTACCAATACAGTACAAGTTTAGTTTCCTATTCCCTGCCTAATGTTAGCTTGCAAATTCACATGTGGTTTTCTCCTACCCATTACACTGAAGATAAACTCTCACTGTTTCTACAGCCTAATGAAGCCTTCTCTCCCCTTCTTTTGCAAAGTAATATTCTAAAACTGTCACCTGTACATGCTGTTACTTGATAAAAAAATTACTATAACACAATTTAAATAGCACTTGTAATCTGAAATCATGGCAATATTGAAATTTAGTGAGGAAACATGTTTTTTCTGAAGTATGCAGTAAGTAGTAGATCTGGACATTTTGTCACCTATGGAATGTAAAAAATTGTTAAACATTGTTCACTGAAAATCCTTAGTCAGATGGTACACTAAAATAAAAAAATTGGATGGGTTAAAAAAACATCCATGTGTAGAAGGCTACCATTCTAGCCATGTTAAGATAATCACTAAATTTTGTCCTAGAGTTGAAGATTTGCAACAGCATCTCAAGTTTTCACCAGCTCTGAGAATTTGCTTCTTCCTACTCTGTAAGGACTACACTCCTTACAATTCCTACAAGGAGTTTTCCCTCCAAGCAATTGCTCAACTCCTTCCAGCCTCAGTAGGCCAACAGGCCACGCTATTGATCTGCCTCAGGAACTGTGGCTGCAATTTATTCAAGAATAAAAATACCACTGTTATAATTACATATTACATGTAACATGTAATTTAGGTATTTCCAAACCTATTGTGAATGTGTGTAGTTTCAAAGGGACATTTAGAAATCTTGCACACTGTAATACCAAATAAGCCTCAATGCCTTCAGCTGCAAGAAAATATGGGTGCCCTGACAGATAACTTATTACCTTGTGATGCAAGCCATTTCTGACTGGATGCTGGGTCTGGACTGGGATCAGAAAGTCACAGGGAATCATGCGAGTCCCTATAAGAAAAGCCTTGTTAAAAACCCTGCAACAGGAAAACCTTAGAAAATCTTTAATTCTCACCCCACTTCTCAGAGTTACTGGAAGACTCAGCCACTTCAAACAGCAGGGCAAAGTGACAGCACAGCTCAGTACCTCCAGCTTTAGTTGACCCTCCTTATTGTAAAGTTAAAATCTGCACCTTGCAGCCTTCAAAAGCCACCAATTAAGAGTACTACAGCAGTGTGATGCCAGGTTAGATAAGAGTCCAACCTCTACACAAGTGTCAACTCTGCAGACTCTTGCAGCTTTCTCGCCATTCAGAATTTAATTCCAAAACACTGAATAGCTTCAGTTTACCTTGATGAATGAGCTGGTAAAAAGCATGCTGCCCATTGGTGCCAGGCTCTCCCCACACAATAGGGCCAGTACTGTAGTCCACACGAGAGCCTTTCTTGGTAATGTATTTGCCATTAGATTCCATATCACCCTAAAAGAAGGGAAAAGTAATATCACCTTTCTTGCAGAGCCACACAGTATCAGTGCAAGTTTCCATACATACTTCAACTCTAATGAGTGCTACTAATTTCTAGAGATTTCCTATGTATCAGGGATACAGCTGTTAATTTATGGACACCAAGATAATATAGGTCTGAGAAAAAACCTCTCTGCATTAATGGAGCAAATAAGCTGATATCTATCTTGACACCAGTCCCTTTGTTACACGAATTTAAGTGATTGCAATTTTAACCTAGAAACATGCATTCAAGTTCTATAACTAAGACAAACACATCTACATTATTGCTTCTCAGAATCTTTACTCTGAGCCTTACCTGCTGGAAGTAGGCAGCAAAGCGGTGCATGTATTGGTCATAGGGCAGAAGGGCATGGGTTTCACATCCATAGCAATTTATATACCAGACCCCCAGCATGGCCAACAGAACAGGCATGTTCTTCTCCAGTGGGGCAGTGTGGAAGTGATTATCCTATGTGACAAAAGAAAATTACACTTTTGATAAAGTAACTGTCACCCCTCCCAACTCTTAAATTATTTTTGTTGTTTTGATCCAGGGAGAACTTCCCAAGCACAGTCATTTAGACACATTCAAAGGACACAGGAAGCTTAACTTCTAAAACCAACCTGCCTTCAGTTACCTTACTAACAACTCTTAGGAGGAGCAAATCTGAAATAGGCATCCCACACTCACCATCCAGTGGGCTCCTGCAAGAAGGTTCTCAAAGTTGTCAAAACCTAACAACGGAAAAAGTCAGTTTGTATTTACTGTTACAACTCAAACTTAATTTTTTTCCTGTAGAGACAATTGTAAAACAGTTGAGATTCCATGTATGTGGCAGGGTTCCCAACTACTAATTGTGTTAAAGATGTACTTTGGCTTCTGAAATTTGCATCCCATAAGCCAGATATATTTAGTTATGATTAAAGCCTGGACTTCAGAGCAAGTCCAACTTCATTAAACATACTTCAAAAACCCTTGCCTAAAACCCCCATTCAGGCAAAATGGGAAACTAGAAGGAAAACAGAGGCATTAAAAGCAGGCTCTATATTAAAGGCTACATAGTTTTCAGCAAATTTGAACACTTAGTCACTTCACAGCCACAGTGGGAGAGACATCCCCTGAAAAACAGGGCAAAGCTAGTACAGCAGGGATTTCTGTCTCGGTCTGGAAAAAACCCACAACTGTAATAAGAACTTCTAAAAGAAAAAGGTTGTGTGTCCCCCATTCTTTTAATCCACCTAATTTTTCTTTGCTCTAATTAGGGTATTTAAATCATCATTTGTTTTCACTAACAAGTAGTTCAACTAATACCATCCTTTCCTGCAAAGGCAGAAAACCTGATTCTTATATGGAAAAATGGAGGTGAACTGTTTGGCAATCAGAGCAGCAGCTCTACCTATGGTCAGAAGCCAGCTTTGGGAGATGGAGATAAGAGTACGAAGTGCACATAGATGGGCATGTCAGCAGTCAGCACCAAATTCGTCTGACAGCAGATATGAACAGTTTATTGCAGACAAAACAGTAAGTTTATTTTGCTTTTCACATAGGTTTTTCTACACATGATAACTCCTATTCATATCATTCCAAAAACACCAAACCCAATGTTTTTCTAACCTCTGTCTGATGAAATTCTAGCTTTCATTTAGAAAGATAAATGACATCATGGTTTCAGACTTGAAATATCTGGAAGAAGTAGTGAGGGAACAAATGCAAGGCTGAACAGCCTGCTCACCAGGCAACAGCAGTTCTTAGAGCTCTTTCACATTAACTGTGTACTCTCCACCTGCATTTGAGATCAGCATCAGAAATGCTGATGCTACTGATCCTCCACCTACTTGTATTGTTACAATTTCAAGGGTCTGTTTGCTCCACAATCAGCTGCAGATAGGACTACTAGGGACAAAAGGAAATAACGGGAGAATGAAATAATTAACAATGCTAAACAGAACTCATATGCAGAGCTGGAGACAGGATTCTGATGTGTGGTGTGTATCTACTCACAGAAACTAAAAACCCTGCTCTTAAATAGTTTAGGAATATCAGTTGCAAGGTCTGATTTTCAACACTGCTTTACATAAATCAGGCCCTTCTGGCTATGGAAGTGACTAAAAGAGATGCAATTTTACTATTTGTACCTCAGTACAGGTAATCTCCAAAACTCCATTTACAGTATAAAATCTCAACATTGCCACTGCATTACAGATCGTTCTTTCGCACAAATATCCAACCACTCAGAGTAGGTTGGGTAAAGTAGTATTTTCCCTAAATCTGATCCACAATCCACTATTGTTAATGCATTCCATAATTATATTCCTGAAGCAAACAAACTAATTTTCAGCATTGTTACATCATAGGAATACCTACCAATATGCAGGGCAATGGATAGACCAATGGCAGACCACAGAGAGTAGCGGCCACCAACCCACTAAAACAAGAGAAAGATTGGTTTAGACAGGAGACATGCACAGCTTTTAAATTCAAACTTATTCAAACTATTATGAATGCGTTTAGACCACCTTCAACAATATCAATATTCTTTCTGGTGATAATTTACTAGAAGTTACATGGCACAATCAAGGAAACCTGCACCTTGCAGTAGCCCCCTCAATGAATTCTTAAGTAAGCATTTTTTGAGACTTTAAAGTTATCATACTTGTCCAATTTATATAACATCTGTTGAAGCAGATCTGGATGATTCCATCTCACTTCCAAACACTGAATCTGCAGCTTGTATTAAATGCTTTCCTAATATCACTCCCCTACAGGTAAAGCCTGCTGCAGCAAGATAGCAATACTATCCAGGGAAAGGTAATGCTCTAGGTAATTTCTGAACAGCAGCTTTAAAATCTAGTTTGTCAGGCACATAGTCAATGAGACAAGCCAACCTGATTCTGATTAAGTATAAGGGCAAAAACCTAAGGGCAGTACATTTAAAATATGCATCTGCTACAAAACATAAAATTAGTCTCCCATTTCTGATGTTTGACCTTTACAGGCCTAGATTATATACAGTAGACCCCAACAGTCAAATGTCATAGCTTATAATAACTACTTACACAGATGAATAAGCTAAGACTTGTTTCTCCTGTTACCCAACAGCTGATTAGACAGCCAAGAACACAGAAGGCTCCTCTTCAGACCTTTGACTACAGGATTTTAATGGAATGGCCAAGAGACAAAACTGTTCTGCTTGCCTGACGTGTTCGCTATTTGCCTTTAGTTAGGAGTTTTCAGATGTTTCAGTACAGAGATTACAACTACTATAAGTGTAGGTGTTTTGCCAGTTTCCTGACATCTGATTAGAATAATCTAACTTGCTTTAGAAAATGCTAACAGTTAACATCTACCACACAACATCAGTCATTTACTTACATCCCAAAACTCAAACATGTTCTCTGGGTCAATTCCAAAGTCTTTAACTTTAGGCTAGGATAAAAAAACACGTTAAGAACATAAGTAAAACCAACAATCTTAAAGCTTTACATCTAGCAAATAAACACAAGCTGGGTACCCATTAAATACACAATTCCCCAATTACAGCCTCTTTAAAAATACATAGAATCCATCAGAAAGAGGGTATACCTTCATTTTCAGAGATCACTACCACTATTCAGTAGTCTCAAATGAAGTCAATGACATACACTCATTTTCTCATCAGTCTAAGTAGCAATATACTTAGGAGTTGGACTGACATTCAATTTACATTTAACAGAACCCGAATGGAAGAGCAGAACTTCACACCACATTACCCGACAGCCTCTCAATTATTGCAGAGTCTTTTTGTAATTGCTTTGGTCTTTCTGCTTCACACTTTTGCATGAACCATATCAGGGTACATTATGCTCATCACATGCTACAGATCATTCACACAAACTACCTGTATCACTTCAGCACTTACTTGAAGAGTCTAGGAGAGTAGTATTTGTTTACATAACTGCATTCACACACACTCAAGCAGTTACAGGTACACTCAGTAACAGGACACTCATTTCAAGTATACAAGATCTTAATCTCAGATTTAAAGCTCCAGCAGAAAAAGCACACATCTATGATGAAGGTCCAATCTTGATACAGTTCGTTACTCTAAAAGTGTTTCAGTTATTTTCAGTAGAAGAATATAATATCTTTCAAGAGGAAGGCTAACTACTGGTATTCAAGTAATGGTATCCTAAAACATACACTTCCATACTGGATTTTAAAATGAAGACATCTCAAAGGTACACAGAAAGAAAATAAGATAGATCGGTTATACTTACACCATTGGTAGACAAGGCAACAAAATGCTTGGCCACAGCTGAAGGCTTCAAAAAATAAACAGATTGTTAGATCTAGAACACTAATTATTTTGATTTCTGGTCATAAAGCTGATCTGCTACCCTTCACACCTAAATTACTGTTGACAACCAGTTATTTTTGTGTTATCAACTTGAAACCATCTTATCCACATTCAGGGTAGGATTTGGCAGTATGCCTGCCTAAAGATAACATTCTCATGAAGCCCTCTGTAACCAGTCACTAAGAGCTGCACACTATTTCCTTAAGAGTACATTATCAGTTTGGAACATCACTACCACCACTTTGGAGCAGATGGGAGTTAGTTGTACATGCACTATCCTTCAAGCTATGGTCAAAAGATCAAGACAACTGGAATTACTGATAAATCTCAAACTCCAGATTTAGACTTTGGTCTTTCAGTAAGTGTTCTGGTAAACAAAGATGAGTTGTCTGCAACAGCAGTGTAACAAGGAATTTCAAAGCCCAGCTTTAAAAGGAAGTACAGCTACTTTGACTGGAACAGGTTGAAGACCATCTTTATTACCTCAGTAGGCAGTATCTGCTTTTTTTCTTTTAAAGGTTGGAAATAGGAGATAATAAACCAAATACAAGGTTTCTATTCATAGCACAGCCATCTGCCATAGAAATGACAGTGTATCACTCCAACCATAGCTTCATTTCCAGTTTTTAAATATTTGCCAGGAATTGGAAGGTAATGCCACATAGACACCATATTCTTGGATTTTTGTATCAGTGGTTCCACCAAATTATTAGGCAGCTCTAAGGTAAATGCTACGCTATTACTTAACAAGCAGGATTTGAGAAAACAGATGACAACCATTTATAATGAAAAACTAGTGGTTTTATCACTTTGATCAGACATAACAGCCTGTCTGTAACCACGAAGCACTGAAATTATATGTACAGCATTTGCTGAGCTATACAGCTTGTGTTTGGGCAGTTATTGGCTCTGCTCCAAAGCACACAGAATGACCAGGGAGAAACTGCACAACGAAAAGCTGTTGCATTCTGTTACATAACCTAAACATTAGACTTACATCATTAGCAGCATGCAAGAACCATTCTTTGGCTGTTTCTGCATTGGTGATAGTTTCCTGGGTGGTGAAAGTCTGCACATCAGAAAACAAGGAAGTAAGTAAAAACACTGTACTTAAAATTGAAACAAGCTCAGGCTGCTAAAACACCATATGTTCTAGTCAGAGCAGAGTGATTCTAGATGTTCATAACAGGCAGCTGCTGCCAGATCTCAGAAAAAAAGCAAGCTTATCAATCCAGTAGAGATTGGAGTTGCTAGACTTATCTATCTAGTTTTAAACTAGCATATATCTAGAATTGGAATAATTATTCCCCATTTCCTACCTTCCCTCCCCCAAACTGTTACACAAAACCTTGAGACAGAAATTTTCTACTGTAGTCTTTCACTAAATATGAAGTTTTACCATTCAACTAAAAAGCAACTAATTGAGCATCAAAACAGGATAACCTAGCTGGACTGTCCTCTTGTTCTTCAATTCCCACTTTTTCATGTAGGAACATTCATTTCTGCTAAGATGCTTGCCATAATTTTGTTTCAATGATTAGAGGAAAACATTTTCCTGCTCCATGAAGTGTGCACAGAAGTTCAGTCATGCAGTTTTGCAAGTATCTACAACCATTCTGATTTACTCAACCATCAAAATTTAGCTTTAAGGGTGAACACTAGACTCAACCTACTCTCATCCATCTCCAGAAATATTCCATTATGAAACTCAAGCCTGTTAATGGAAAAAAATGCCATTCATCCTCTTCCAAATATATCCAATTATCTAACTACAGTCTGGCAAACAGAAATTGAAGTGTTACTCTTTCAATTTGACAGTCTTCCAAGCCTTTGAACCGTGATCCTTGAACTCAATTATTCAAAGTGACCATTAGTACTACTTTGTGAAGTTTCCTTATTATTCCATAAGTTGTTGCTCAGCTGCAGTATTGCCAAGACAAGATAATGAGCACCACCATAGAGCATGGCCAGCATAACACACATGTTCATTTGTTGCAGACTCTTCAACAGCAAAAAAGGTTCTACTGTGCTTTACAAATGAAGGCGACCCGAGTTACATAATCATCAAGTTTGTCTTCATCAGTTTCCTCTGCTAAGACAGCATTCCTCAAAGGAAGATGGCAGCTAGCAATTATGTTTACAGAATAAGTTACTAGCAAGGCAAGACTTAAAGGCAGCTATTAGGTCTGTATTCAGAAATAAGTGTCATCTTACAAACTACCAGCAGACTATCTTTACCTCTTTGTAAGTAAAGAATTAGTATTTATAGTGGTCAAAGAACTCAGCATTTAAGTTATTTAGGCAAAGATATTTTGTTATTCCCCTAAACTAGAATGAAGATACCCAAGCCACACAATTCATTAATGCAAGAAACAGAACACTTAACAAGTAACACTGTACTCAAGATAAAGGACCAAAAGTAACCTTAAATGAAATAAAGGAGTAAGACAACAAGATCTTGAATTTCAAAGGAATAACTACATAGGATCCTACATTCCACCCACGGAAGTACAGTAAAATAAACTTTTGTGAATAAAGCTTGAACTTGTGTTGACTGAGAAATATGCCCTAGACAACATGAATTTGCCCAAGTGTCTGACTTGCTTCAGTTAAGTCATTTTCAGCATGTGACTTCTGGATCCTTTAGTGTTTCAGTAACACAAGATTGTACTGCAAGTTTAGGATTAATCACAACATGCCTGTTAAAAAACAGCTGACACTAGAAATCCCTGATATAGATCTTCCTGCAGACAGATCTCTATTCTGACTGAATCCTTTACAGTCAGAGAAAGTCACACCCCAGTGCTTGTATTAGACATACCTTTGATGCAATGATGAAGAGTGTAGTGTCTGGTTTAAGCTCAGCCAGGGTTTTGGCTATATGAGTACCATCAATGTTCGATACAAACCAAACACGGGGGCCTCCCTTGGAATATGGTTTCAGGGCTTCAGTTACCATCAGAGGGCCCTGGATAGAAGCAACAATTAGATTTTATCTTGTGTATATTGCAAGCATGTACACACACAAAAAAAGACAAGGTAGATATATAGAAGTCAGGCACTTACCAAGTCAGAGCCACCAATCCCAATATTGACCACATCAGTGATTGTCTTTCCAGTGTAGCCTTTCCATTCACCACCACGGACTCTCTGTGGCAAAAAAAATTACAGTGACTTTTGTACTTACACTAAAGTTAGTGATTCTAACACTGGAAATTCTACGATGCCTGAAAACACAGTCTAAGTCTCCAAAGACAACTTTCAAGCTTCTAGACCTTAAAGCCTACACTCAAAGCTCCCTTCTTAGCTAGACATTTGGTTATGTCTAAGATGACACTTCATTAAGTGTTAGAAGTCTAATGCACATATTTAAAAACACACTGCAAGATCAAACTCTGTGTGAACTGCTATACCAATTACAACAGAGTGTTGGCAAAGGCAGGAAAAATGAAAAAATCTTGGGCATTAAACTATTTGCAATGAACATTTGAAAGTGGAGGGGTTCTTTAAATGCAACTTCACTACCTAAACTGGAAGAAGCCATGAAAACAGATTTATTGGCAAATCAAACATTCAAAAAGCTTTTCTATTGCACATATGTTTTGCATTAAAATTTATTTCTGAGCTTCACCTTAACAGCACATAGTACAGGTTTCTGCTCTGTTCTTGCTGTTTTAAGAGTTACTGAGCTCCGACAAAGAAAATTACAATCATTAAGTAATATCAAAACACTGCATTGAATTTTGTCCACCATGTACCACCTATGCATTAAATTTGTTTCCATCACAAAAGAATCTTTAGTATCATGCACACTTCTACATACATTCCCCAATTCTAAAGCAATTTTCCCCACAACAAATCACCTGGTTATACTGATAGTTGCTCTCCTTCCCTACAGATGTTTAAGTTAAACCCTTTTGTTTTTCTCAACAGAAAATCCATTTTCAGCATACACCATTCCTGTAACCTGTAGATGATGTTGCCATAGTTTTAAAACCCCATCTGCTTAAGTGAGTCACCTGAAACAAGCATCATTGTTAATCTTTCCAAACAAACTGCAGAGAAGATACATCTGCATGGAATATTCACAAGCTCTGATGACTGAAACCATTTAGCAATAAAGAGAGTGGCACCAGTACAAAAAACCCTTGTTTTGCACTATCAAAAAACTTTAATCAGCCAAACACTCCACAGTGCAAAGCAGATCATTGAATTTCTGTGGCCATTCAATTCTTACATTATCTGAAGAAACTACCAAATTCAGACCAATTAGTGTCCGTTATTGTGATTTTGGCATTTATCCATTAGGAACTGGACATAATCCAGGCTCATTTTGTATAGGTTAACAAGTATGAGTTGGCAGTCATACTGGCCACTACCACCTGGATAACTCACTATAGTGACCAAGCAGGTCCAGTTCTTCACAGCCCTGTTTAAAAAAATGCACTAAAACTATTTGGTGAGCTTTTACTGATTAGCTTTATCACACAAATTTGACTTTGTTAGAGTGCTCTATAAAGTTCTTCCAGAGCATTTCCTCAACTCATCTGACAGATACCTACGTTCTAAAGGTGTACAGAATCAAAGAACAAGTAATTAATGATATTTGAAGATAATGGTTAACAGCTGTATTTAACTAGGGAAGAAAAAAACTTTCATGCTGCAACAATAGAATCATAAAGCAATCTGACCTAAAAAAGATCTTTAAGAAACTATTTAAGCAGAGCATAATCAAACTGCAAGTGAGCTGTGAGCTTCTACCTTTCCTGACCTTACACGAATTTTAAGATGCAGTTTCTGCTTGACAGAGTCAAGTAGTTGAAAAATTAGCAGAGAAATAAGGCAATATTTGACAGTACTTAAGGATTTACAGGATTTCTGAAGTAAATGCAAGATTACTGCTGAAAGAACAAGATCTAGAGAGCCCATTAAAGAAAAACCCAAATGGGAACAGAGAGAGGTCAATCATACTAAAACCAGCTCCAACACCAACACTCTAGTTGAGCCAGAACTATTACAAACCTCAAACAAGGACACAAAAATTCATGTGAACCAGCCTACAATCAATGTTTCACAGTATAATGCAAGAACCTGGCTGGATACAGAACATAGAAAAATAAGCTATGATGGTAACTTTATACCTGGCAGAAGTGTTTCATTTTGTCCAACACTTTGTTTACTTCTGGAACAACATCCTTCCCATCTACAAGTATTGGCACATTAGAACGATTTCTCAGAGCAATATGAAGCACAGCTCGGTTCTGAAACAAGAAGGGAAAAAACTGAAGAAGCTGTTTCCAAATTACACCCAGGGGCCTCAGGTACCTCATCCAGAAGGTAGTACAATCTTCATCTTAAAAATCCTTTAGATTAACTGTAATTAGTAGCAGTAGTTTGTGTGTATATGTGCATATACACACACTCATCACCAGCTATCTAAATCACCCTCTCACTTCACAGAATCAGTGCAGAGGGCTTGCAAAAGCATATAATATGCAAAGTAAACAAATAGCTTAATTTGTTTACTTTAAAAATAAAGCTCAAAAGCCCTTGAAAAGCATTTAATGATTGATGTTCATAATTCAGCAATATTCAGTACTCCATGATCTCAATTATTTTGGCATGCTCAGGTATACAAGGATGGAGTTGTTTCCTATTAATCACAATACTGAAAACCAATTGTAACAAGCAGCCAAACTTATTTTCTCTGGCATTTTCTCAACTATCCTGAGAAGTTCATTTTGCATAGAGACAAATATGTATTTAAACATTTCACAAAAAAAGGAATACAATAGCCACATTATTCTATCCACTGCCCACAACTAGATGTTCCCTGGATACTTGCACACCAGATATACAGGTGGTAGTTGTGTTATGAGAAAAATATATGTTAGCATGCACCATATTATATTAATTCTCCACAGTTACACATAAGTCAAAGCACTGAAAGTTGGCCTTTGATTTGCCTGTTCAGGAGCTTAACAGCTTTAATCTAAAATGAAGGAGTTAGTCAATACTAATGAACAAATTAAAAAAAAATGTCTGCTCTGCCTCATTGTTCCTCACTACAATGAGAGGCACCGAGACAAAGACAACACAGACGATATGAACTGCCAAGTTGTGATTTAAATACCAAATACTAATTCAAAAAATCACTGAGTTTATGGTTACTGACTTGGAACATTAAAAAGCTCTTTCAGTTGGCCATTATCAAAGCAGACCCACTTAAATTTGGGGTGAAGAGGCAATTTTTTTTTTTGCAACACTGAGCCATGGAACAGTATTTGGTAGATACTGCTCACTACCAGGCTTCAGGGAAGCTTTGTCTTGAAGAGAAGCAGTCATTTGACCTAATATCTACAGTAAACCAGAAATATTTTCTAAATATCAGGTGGGCTATAAAGACTGTCTCCATAATAAGTGCTCAAGTATGAGTTACCTTGCAATGCACTGTCTTTGTGCCATATCAAGCTGCAAGTTTTAACTCATCTGGGACATACACCTGGCAATGACACACTTGGGTGCACTATAAAGAATTTCCACATAAGCACACACCATGCAGCCAATGCCTGCAGCATCAAATACAGACAAGTCTTAAATACTTAAGACAAATAGCTGAAACTTTCTAAATCAGAACAAGAATAGTGGACAAGTCAGTTCTTGCCATTAAGCAGCTCCCTTCTGTCTTATTGCTTTAGGTTTATTCAGTCATGCTGTTTAACAGCATCCTGTTTTTACGGTCTCATGACAATTTCATTGTCCACATGCTCATCTTCCAGAGCCAAACCAACTTGATTTAATATTCTATACAAATGGAAAAAATTTAAACAAATCAAATCTAATTCCAAGTCAGCTTCTGACTGTAAATGAGAAACTGATAACGAAAAAGATGTTTCTAGACTTATGCAGGTAATTACTACATAAAATTGCCATATCAAGACAGTAGCAAAACAGGGAGCTAGCAGAAGCCAAACACACAGTTTAATATTGTGTTTAAGGGCTTTCTGTGAAAATTGCATCCTTCTGAGAAGGCTTCAGCTGCTACATTTCCTCTTATGTAGACAATGAAGAGTAACTCCATAATATGTGGTCAAAAACAGGCTAACCCTGTAATAATTTACATCATACGAGGCCAGTGAGAGGCAATATCTGAGAAAACAGCCCTCCAGGTGGATTTAAGACTCATCACCCTCTTTTCCCTCTTCCTTTTTTCACTAGCTAGAAGTACATCTGTGAATTGAAGGCATTAATACAGAAGGAAGGGGAACCATTTCTCCAGTGAAGCTTTATCTGTTTCTGTCTCTGCATTTTTACAGACATGTAGCATTCACAAACAATACAACGTCCAACTGCTGAGTTACTTTAAGCAAACAGCTTGTGCAACAGCTAAATCAGTCAATAACTTAGTCAAAGGAAATACAAATTTCTGTGAATTTACCTCAAACATACTAAATAGCCTTTAGTATTAAGGCAGACTAACAAATCACATACTGTTGAGTTTCCAGTTTTCATCCTATTTTTAGTTTCAGAAAAAAGGTACAGTTGGGCTTCTGTACGTTTTGGTGAACATAACCATAATTACAACCTTCAGATATACAAAAAAAGGAAGACACTCATTGTCTTACTGAAATAGGTAGTTAATTTCCCAAGATTGGTTATAGTCTCTACTGTTAAACATACCCAAAGATCAGTAGCATCAACAACCCAAAGTAGAAAAGTCTTACACAATCCTCACTATAACTTTCTAGGCAGTTTACTAAGTTTTATCAACACTAACATTAGGCAAAAGCATAGAAGCAATACCTGGAATGCAATACTCTGCTTCATGCCCTTTGCAAGATCTAACTCATCTTCCTCTCTACAAAAGGGGGAAGAGAACACAAGAAAAAAAAATATACCACCAAAATCTCTACAAAAAATTAAGATGTGTGTTGAAGGGAGGATTGAATAGCTTTATTCACACATATTTTCTTCTGTCTTTGTTAGAGCTATAAAAATTTCTCATTTAAGTAGTGCAGCAACCATTACAACCACTTGGCATTTCAGAGAAGCAATTAGACTAGGTTTTTTTCAGGACTTACAAACATGCACGAACACCCATAATATATAGGCACAACTGAGGGGAAAGAACCATGGACAGAAATAGCCTTACCTCAGTGAAGTTGATCTTTTCTCCACTGAACATGCGCTCTCTGGCACCTTCCACACCCCTTGACTTTGCCTGAGAAATGTAAAAATAGATTCCTCTTAAAAATAGTAGGAAGTCAACATGTACTACCAAGGTCCAGATACATTAAAGACTGAACATTTACCACAAGACAGTGGAACAAAAGTTATTAGATTAAAAGACCCACTAGATTCTAGCTTAAAAATTTATTCTCTTATTTTAAAGCAAGTATTTTTACACAAGCTGTTTAATTCCTTAAGAGGTTACACAGTAACATGTGCTGAACGATCAAGATGCAATGAATCTATCTTAATTACTCCTGTTTCATCTTGGCATACTGCTACAGAATTCATTAATAATTCTTTGTACCACTTTAGAATTTTTTTTTTTTTGAACCGAAGAGTGGCAAAAGCAATTTTGCTGGGGCTATTTTTCCTAGTTCTTCACTTCTCAAAAAACTGTGTCCTATCTGGTCTAAGCCTTTGGCTGAACCAATAGTTAAGAAAGGCTTGTAAATATGGACACCGTGCTAAACTGAAGCTAGTGACAGGAGTTTCTTAAAACACATCCAACTGCAAATTAATCTCAAAACTAAGACTGTGACATATGAAGTATTGTTTCAGTAGCAGGTATAGAAGACATGACCTTCTCTTACAAGTTTATATGTACCTCAGTAACAGTGCCATATACCAGCTGGTCTGTTACACAGAGAAAAAAACTTTCCAGCAAACACAAGAAACAGATCTGCACACTGAAAAATGCCCCTCTACTTCTGAGTTAAAGGACAACACAAGACCTTGAACAGAGCCAAGATCTGTAAACATATGCCTTTTAACTTTGATGGTCTCAAATTCAGAGCTAAATGTATACTCTAGCATTGCTTATAATCTGTCACAGATAAAAGTTAGCTTTCGTTAAAAAACCTACTTGATTTATTAATTCAACATTTTAAAGAGTTACCAGTTCCATCAGCATTTTCATCACTTCCTCTGTAACAAGGTTCTTCGAATAATCCAGTAAGATATCCCCATGATCAGTATTCAGAGTCAAGCTGTCAAAACAAACAGGCATTTAATTGCACACTCCTGAAGAGTGGATATTTTAAGCAAGACAATGATAACTCCTCTATAGGTTAGAAAATAATTGGAATCCTAATTATACCAAGTTAGTAAATATGACCTGAGGGACTGATTTGCCCCACAAGCTTCAAAATTACTTAGAGTGCTGTTTTAATTGAAGACCATGGTTTTCAACAAGCTAAATTATAGTGTCCACTTTCTGCTTGTGAGAGTCCAAATAGAATGAAGTATACTTAATGCAGTTGGACAATCACATTCTGTTTTGAGCCACTAGCATTCTCTAGCAGTAACTAGCTTTTTCCTAATATATCATAGGTAAAAAACTTACCACATTCTTTTGCTGCTAAAAAATGAAACTCTTCCTACAAGTCCTTTCAACAAATATAGTCATTCTTTTATATGGTGACTTGAACAACCCTGATTTAGAAATCTATACAACTTCATGTACAAAAACATTCTGTCAGCTATTATGCAGAATTAAACCCCACTTGTGCATGGTGTAGTCTCACTGTCGTCACTGACCCCATGGAAGTCTTCAATTTTAGTTAAATAATCCTCATCTGAAAGTTATAGCCTAATACTTCAAAATGCAAACACTTTTAGGTTTTGTATTTACTAGCCTTTTATCTATGTAAGTTCTAGAGTCCCTCTAGTTCTTTACAGAGCAGTTTTCTATCCATTTCTTCTCTGCACTAATTTACAGCCAAATATATACACTTACTCTGAACTGAAGAATCAAAGTTCTGTAAGTAATTCAGTAGGCCTTCTATAAACACACAGAATGTCTTTTATATCTTACTCAGTTTTGCTCCACATGCACAAGCCACAGGAAATTGCATGCATCTAAGTTCTCAGTGCTTCTGTGTTGCTCATTATATTCCCTACTTTTTCCTTCCCAATACTTGAGCACAGAAACATGCACTGTTATTTTAGTGACCACACATGCCAGAGACTTTGCAGAGACAAACCATGGCATAATTGCTATTCCAGACAGATATAATATGACAGAGCAGGCAAGATTCTGCAAAGGAAGAACAGAGCCAACTGGAAATAACTGTCATAATCAGCCAGTCCTAGACATTTGGGTGGTTTTATTAACTTGAAGAATAACACAGCAGCTTATATTTTAAGACCAGAAGGACACAAGACACTAAATAAGGAAAGGAAGGTGTCTTCAAGTACAATCTTGTAAGACTGTCTCTTTTACAGGCAAATACACAAGGCAAGGGAGGAAAACCAACATCAATACTATTAATCACCCTTCTCTTCAGGGGGCTGCAAAACAGCAATCCTGGAACCCTGACCATCCAAAATAAGGATACCTGGAAAATGGCTAGCTAAGGGAAGGACTGTTACCTCTCACCCACCAAATTTGCTATTTGTTGATACAGTACAGAAGAAAAATAAGATCAAACTCTGCAAGTCTTCCTGTTTGAGATGCAATGCAAGTTATATTACAGGTCTTAAACTGGAACTCAGTTTGCTAGTAATACAGCAAGGCCATTAGCATACTAATACTTCTTCAGTTTAGAGAAGTAGAACTTCAAAATTCTCATCTACAGTCTAATATAGAGTCTTCCCCAGTGTTCTACTCCATGAACATGAAATCCTTACAATATTTTCTTTATTTTTACCTGACATATGCCTTACTTCTACAATTCATTGTTGTTCTACAAATAAAAATCAGTCTCACTAGACCAAGACATCAAAGTATCCCACGAAATTCTGGCTGGATTCAAATCACTACTCATTCGAATAAACCACAGAAAGGTGTCATCCCAAGACATTTAATGCAAAAAAGCAAACCGTGGCTACTAGACATGACTTCCCACAGACAAGGGGGAACACACAGCATGTAATGTAATCTCATCTTAAACCCTTACACCAAGAGATCCACTCACCCTTTATTTAAACAGAAGCCCAAAACCCTGCAGCTCAGTTGCATTCTGCTACACTACCCACGCTGCAATGCAGCAGCTAATAGCAGCACAACCCAGGTGGAACAAGAGCCTTGTCACGTAAGCTACATCCACACTGAAGTGATGCAGCCCCTAACCAGAAGGTCACCTGCAGCGTCTCAGAACCATCTTCTCCCACCTAAACACTAAGGAATCTGTACGAAACCCCTAAACGTATTATTACTCATGGATTCTCTGGTGGTATGTTTCCTATTTAGATTGAAGGCTCTTTGTGATCCTTCACAATGGACAGCCAACTACCAGGAGTGTAATACTAGTGCTTTATGTCTTGTACCAGCTATTTCTGTCAAAAGTACCTTAATCAGCATCCACGTATCTCTATCTGTTGAGTTTTATGATGGCTGCATCATATCAGTTCTAACCCCTCAAAACCAGTAAAGCTTTTCTAGTGAACAACCCATGTCGTTAAGATCCACTGCTCCTACCAGACCTTACATCTGGGTAGCAAAGCCAAAGGTTTGACTCCACTCACAATCAGGAAAACAGGATATACAAATTGAGGAAGAAAAAAGGGCAAAGGAAGAAATTATGTTCTGTCTACATTCTGTAGGACACAACCAGTGAGTATAAGGTTCTTATAATATTAAATATATACTTGTGCTCAGAAATAAATATTCACATTAAAAATTACTCACACCAATCTGAAATTTCTCCAGAACCAGTACCAGGAAGCACTTTTACATCAGTAAAAGTTTCTCTTTTTCTTCTGAAGGAAGAGAGATAGTCCATGATTTTATAATACCTAGCAGAACTAATGGAAACATATTTCACACGAGGGGAGAGGTGCAGACTATAGACAGGATCTTGTGGCCAAACCTCCAGGCTGCTTATGCTTTCAACAGATGTCATCTACCACCATCCTGATGATCTGTCTCAAAGCAGCAATCAGTGAGAAGTATATAAGCAGATCTGTCAAACTAACCCAGGCTGTCAGCTCTGCAACTGTATTTTGCTATGAGAAAGTTCTCCTGGTAGTACAGAATGTATTGGTTTACCAGGAAACAGGACTGAAATAACGAGAAGAAAGGATTGAGATGATTAAGTAAACTTAAAACACTTCAACTGTTTCCCGTCCTTATGAGCAGCACAAAAGGACATTAAGTTGGGCAACTTTGAAACAGATAACCTTGGTAAAAAGCATTTCACAAACATCTGATAAACACATTCTAGGAGACACATTGACTATTTTCAGCATGGAGAAAACGTGTTGGAGATGAGTATGTGTGCCTGAAACAATAGTTGTCAAGTATCTTCTCTCCCTGGGTAATTTAACACCACAGTGACAGCGTAACACTCAAAGAAGTCTAAGTATATTACAAATTCACAGGAGCAATTAAATACAGACTATTTCAGATTGAGAGGGTATATTTTATGGTTAAAGTAGCTTGGATAATATTAAAGTGACAGACAGTGACATTAAGATGAAGTGCTATCCCCAAGTACTTGCTCAGGCCATTCAGGAAAGAACCATAGAAGAAGACTCTTGATTATACCTTTTGATTTAACTAGTTTGCATCAGATTTCCTTTGTTCCAAGGATGTTAAACTCAGTCCCTTGGGATATACTGCAGATAAGGAAAACCTGCAACCAGAACTAGCAGTTTTGTTTAAGGTAACAATAACAAAGTTCTTTAACAGTACAAAAAAAGCAAACTGTTACAAGAGCCAGATGAAGTCAATACTCCAAAAGTTTAGCATACCTTTTCCATCAATGCAAATGGAATTTGAATTCCTGTATACAGGTACACAGGACTTCATATGTGATGTTTAACTACAATTTAAGAAGTATCTAGCAAGCTCAAAAGGAAAGAGAAGTCACTTTACCTAGGATGCTAATGCAATGCTTAATACATGCAACAAGTCTCATCTCAACACTGGAGAACAGAAGCTTACTGTATCTGTATCACTGAGGCTCACTTTAAAGTCAACTCAGGGATGCACCTACATAGTATCAGACTTTGCAGATTGCTTCTATAGTCCAGCAACATAACCATACACAAGTTCTCAGCAGAGTCTCCAGTGTGCAGAAAAAATTAGTGTCACTTTACAAGATGAAATCGCTGTACGTTATCACTCTGCTTCCACGTCTTACTTCCTCCTCCAGCAAAAATATGTTGCAACGCATTTTCTGTAATGAGACAAGGAAGGGCTAAACCTGCTAAACATCCCCCCTTCCCCATCTCAGGGCAGGGGCAGGCACCGCCGTACTACTGACAGGTAGGGGCACACGGATGGATGGCTCCTCGTGATTCTATCGCGGAGCTTATCATGACTAAGCATATGGGTGCGAGAGACTGAGAAATGAAGGACCCACAATGCCGCTGCGCGAGCCGCAGCCCGGCGCTGT